AGCCATGCTGAGGCCGAGTCCCACATACAGCAACTAGAAGGGTGTGCAACTATGACGTACAACTATCTACTGGGGCTTTGGGGGGATAAATAAATAAATAAACTTTAAAAAAAAAAAAAAAGGTTACATACTGTATGATTCCATTTATATAACTTTCTTGAAACGACAAAATTATAGAAATGGAAAACAGGTTAGCGGTTCCTAGGAATTAAGGAGGCAGTAGGGGCAAAACAGAAGTGGGTTTGACCACAAAGGGACAAAAAAGAGGGATCTTTGTGGTGATGGAAATGTACTGTACCTAGATTGCACCAATGTCAATATACTGGTTGTAATATAGTTTTACAAGATGCTACCGTGAGGGGAAACTCGGTAAAAGGAACTCAGAATCTCTTTGTATTATTTCTTATAACTGCATGTGATTCTATAATTATCTCAAAATACAGTTTAAATTTTTTTAAAATTGCTTTTAAAACACACACACACACGGTAACCCGCAGAAGAATTTAATTTTAAAATCTGATATATTATAACATCACACTGAAAATATTTCTAGTTACCAGAAAATATCTCTTTCATTTTTAAGAAAAAATCCAACACATAATTCAGCTTTACCTTATCTGAACCTAAAATAATACAATTTATTAAATATAAAGTTGGTAAGGTTACAGTTTTAGCAGTGACGGGCATACCTGCAGCACTTACTAAAAACAACTTGGTCAGCACAGGGAGCATAAATGAACCAATATTCTTTACCACCAATTCCATCTAAAAATGGAGATAACTCCATGCTTTGCAAGGAAAATAATAAAATATGCTGAAAATACTAGGCAAGATTTTATGTGAAATGCTTTGAGGAGACAAATATAAAAGGAATATAAGCTGCAGATTATTCAGGAAAAGAAAATATTAAGCTTATTCTACCACAAAGAACCCATTTACCATAACATAAGAGTTCTTTTACTTATGTTAAAATATACCTAACTTTAAAGGCTTGCACCAATATATGCAGGATTTGTAGGTAGGCTAAATAAGACACAGGTTCATCCATTTTTACTAATAGATTAACAATACAAAGTAATCAGTGAACAGTGAGTGAAGATTAAAATATTAAGATTCAAATATTAAGATTAGATAAGAACCTACTATCTTTGTCTGCTGATTCACTTTTTTATCTTCTAGATCCTTGAATTTTGATCGAAACGAGACCATCTTCTCTTGAAGTTCTGGTGTACACAGTTCATACACATCCAACATAAGAGGAAATTTAACATCCTGTATAAACCAAAAAGAAAACAAAAATGTGTAAACAGACTTATAAAAGTAGTTATTTAAAATATCTATCACACTGTTAAAGCAGTGCCTTCATATGCAAAGAAAGCCGAAAATAAAATCTGTAAAAGTCACTTGGAAATCTATACAGTTGAAAATATCACAGTGCTTATTTTCAATCTGGTCCTAACTTAAGGTAAGTTTTTAAAACTTTTTTCCCATTAAACATTTTAACCCATGAAACTGACCACAGAGAAATTACCAAAATTTATATGACAAAGAAACATTTCAGAAATATCAGACTAGTTGCTGTGAAAATAATGGATACCCAAAACCAGCAGTGGAGTCAATTTACAAATGGGGTCACTTATGACTTTAATTTGAAATACGATTTTACATAGAAACAATAGTGATACAGTTCAATAACTAATATTAATATATTTAAAGTTAACACTAGTAGATAACTTCAACTACATTTAACCTTCTCATATAACACTAAGTATATTTCAAAATGTATTATGAATTTCAGCTCAACAGGCTAGAATTCTACCTCTCCCAAGGATCAGGGACTCTGTTCAATAAAACAGCTAAATCATTAGCCTGGCTCCTATATCAAGAGATTACAATTTAAGTACTCTTTGGGCATCAGTAATTTAAGACTCTCCTTTAACCTGGAATAAGGAATCACCTAGAACAGAGTACAATGTGTTATACTACCCCTCACCCCTCTCCCATCCCCAAACCTACAGGATCAGTATCTCTGAAGTTGAGGATCTGATCTAAAGCAATGTTTCTGGGGAGTGGGGGGCATTCATCAGAATTATCTAGGAATCTTTTGAAAATTTAAGAACTCAGGCCCCGCTCAATTAGAAGCGGGGTGGGGGGAGAAGGAGGAGAAGCCAGACATATGTATGACTTAAAATAAAAATAACAATAGATCATTCCAATACACATTCCCGGTTAAGAACCACTCATCTAATGTTAATAACTTCCCTATGTACAGTATTTCGAAGAAAGTTTAATTATCCCTAAAGGAATAAAGAAACCTATTGTTAGGGATTGCCTTCAAAGAATTACAATATTTTATTATACTAAAGTTCATTACTAACCTTAAGAACTTTAGCATTCACAGATTCCTTCTCTTTATAAAAAAAGCGAACCATCTGAATAGTTAAATAAGCAGGTAGCCGGCTGATCTTGGACTGAGGAGAGAAAATGGAAAGAACTCCTATTACATGCAAATACCACACAAGTTTTTAATTCTTTGGTTTGGTGAAAACAAAGACTGGGTAATACTAATTAACTGGAAACCTTTCAACAAAACAGAGTTCTATGTCAAAAGGAATGTACAACTTACAGATTTGATGTACAAAGCATTTCTTTGCAATGTAGGAGACTGTTTGGTGATTTCTTCCTGAAGTCGCTAAAAAAGAACGTAACAGTAGACCAAACATCAGTTTTAAAGAATTTTTTCGGCAACATAGAATCAAATCTTTAATTCTTTTAAAAATTAATACTATTTAATAGACAACATACAGTATGTGGATAGATTCATACCACTGAGAAATAATTTGAATGAAGACAATGTGGGAAGGCTTTTAGATATGGTTCAGTTTTTAAAAGGCATCAAATAACTTATACTGGTGTGAACTTCTCAGAATGTAAATAATGTTTGAAGTTTTTTAATTATGACCCAAATGTTGCTCAGATTCTGAGAGTTTATATTGTATTTTATATAACATAAAAAAGCCTTTTATGGCATTCCTCTACTTATGGATTACCAGAATATTCATATTAGAGGAAAATTAAGAGAATGTAGGAAACCCTTGTTCTTCATGCTTTATGCAAAAAGCCTTCCAGAATCAATCAATTTTTGTTAAATTTGAGGTCAATTATTGTTAAATTTGAGGAAAGTCATACTACAGATAACCTCTGTTAATCTAACGAACGTGGGAAAGACTTTAGCCATTATACATATCTTAACCATCATGTCTGCCTTTCCACTCCTTACAGCCTGTGGGATAGTAGGCAAGACAGTTATCCCCTCTGGGCACCATTTGTACATGGTGATACTACTACCTACATTATAGTACTGCTGTTAGAATTACATGAGTTAGTACATGTAGAAAACTGGGAAAACTATTTGGCATATATTCCATGTCCAATAAACATTAGCTACTATTTCTAATATCAAAAAAATTAGCACTACTATGGGGCTGGCCCCATGGCCTAGTGGTTGAGTTTGGCACCCTCCACTTTGGCAGCCTGGGTTCATGGGTTCAGATCCCAGGCACGGACCTACACCACTCGTCAGCCATGCTGTGGCAGCGACCCACATACAAAACAGAGGAAGATTAGCACAGATGTTAGCTCAGGGCTAATCTTCCTCAAGCAAAAAAAAAAAAAAAAAAAAGGAAGACTGGCAACAGATATTAGCTCAGGGCAAATCTTCCTCAGCAAAAAAAAAAAAATAGCACTACTAATATACTTTGCTTTAATATTAACACACAAGAAATCAGTGCTGAAACAATTTACTGTTATTTTACTATAAACATGTTACACGTGTGTAAAAAATCTTTATAAGTTTGATTTTTAAAAATTACTAATCACATTACAAAAGGAATCACCGAGGAGTAACTTTTTAACATTTAATCAAGTTTACTCAGTAGCAAAGAGGTAAAGAAATGTGGAGCCAAATTACTCAAGAATAATCAGAACAAGCTAAAAAATTACCAAGACAATAAATACAACATCTCATAAATACATGTTTTTCAAGAAAGCATATCTGGTGCGATGCATACAGGTAAGCTGTATGTATTATCACCAATCCACTATCATCTAGAAGTTTCCAAGGATATTTAGTTTTCCCAGAATTTATAAAATTATGAAGAAAATATCATCCTGGAGAGTCCCTGCCGAAACATTTCATTCCACACTCTCCAATTAATACTTTTAACTCCATGTTTTGATGCCCTGAAACTTGCACATCATGATTTCTTACGGGACTCTTGGTGGTGAGCTAGTATTTGTATGCTTTTAAAATGAACTTCTCTTAAAAGCCATTACGCCTCACCACAACTCTCCCCTCAGTATCACAGGACTAAGAACATCACTATTTATCTGTCTGCTTCTTACGTCTACATTTATCAACTTTTCCCCTAATCAATCTTATCCCATCTGTAGGTGGGAGCTCCCCAATGACAAATTATCTTGTTTATCAATGTAATCCCTCCCCAATTCACTGTTTTTCTTTCAAGAGATGTACATATTCCCCAAACCACATCAAATTAATAAGTTAGCAAGCAAAACTGTTATATTTTATCAATCTGCTCATTAAAGTGCATTCTTTAGTATGGCACTGGAAAAAGAGTACTAATTGAATAGAGCAAGTTCTAGATCTGACTCTGCCACAAACCAACAAAGTCACTTAAATTCTAGGGCCTCAACTGCAATACCAGTGCAATGGCAGAATGACTCTATGGCCTGATTTGCACAGTACGATCACAGTTTATACCTCATAATTATTAAAATACCCTCTTACAACACCCTCAGAGGCCTCCTGTGAGCCTCTGGTCACAACATTTTTGTCAAGTGATCAGTACACAATCTTGTTTTATGTGTGTTTCTGTTTAATGACACTGTTTAATGACACTTTACCTAACGTACACTGTTGATTCACTAACACTGAACTCACAGCAAACTACACTATAACTCGTCCCTGAACGATGCTTATCTAACAAACGTTATTTTCTCCGTAAGGCATATCACAGCCTTCTTGCACTTACAACACTAGGCAGCACTTCAGCACCATGCCTGAAGGTCATTTTAAACAGCAAAATCACCAACTTTTTGCAAAAAATGCAGCACTAAAATTACCTGAGAAAGGACACTTTTTTATAGTATCATAGCTGAAACAATAAGGCAGAGATCACCTTTTTGGATCTCAGGTGGGATGGTGTGTGTAAGGAGATTCAAAATTTTTGCCACTCTGGGCACGTCTACAAACAACTGTGAAAGCATTACAAGTACTGATGTTGGGGTTACAAACAAATTTTAGCGAGCAGGTGCATTTGCAAATATGGAATCCACGAATAATGACGATCAACTGTAATCATCCTTACCAATTTAAGTCCTGTAAAAAGATACTTGACTTCTTGATTGATAAAACAGCTGAGCTGAAGCTGATTTTCCTTTCCTTTAGTGACTTCTTCTTCTTCAGATTCTGTACATTTCATGCTTTGCAAAATAAGATAAGGAATATTCCAACAGGCCTTCAATTTGTTATACAATCTTGAATATAAACTACCCTAACGCTATTAAAATTAATAGTATAATTCATTAGTATTTAAAACATTTTGATTTCCCCATAGAGATTCAACAAACTTAAAAATGCTCATCTGCTTAGCAACAATACTAAGAAATCCATGTGTGTAAAAGGATAAACTCTAAACAAACAGAAACTGGTATTTATACAGTCTTAAAAACCCAAAGATACATAAACAGAAATCTTGTCTAAGTTTCTACCCATGACCTAGAAAATAGTACTTCCCTAAATTCATGTTTTATGAATTGGTTCAATCTCATGTACATAATATATACTCCATTTCATACAATTAAAAATTTATTCTCTATGAGATGAAAAATGAGGTAGACTCTGCTAAAGATGTTCCTAGGGAAAAAATAATGAATATCCTTTAAGTGTACATTTATTTAAACTACAAGATCACGCCAATGGGTGTATTTTTCCAAATTCCTAATTTCCATGATATTTTTCAGGCATAAAAACCTCTCAAGTTTTTTTCTTCATAGCCCACCCACCACTCCAATCAGTCAACAACGCTTTTTATACCAATTCACTTCTAATAAGTTAGGAGTACAGTCTATACAGATCTTAGCTCATAAGGATACGTAGTTTCAAACTCAACTCCGAAGAACTGATCAATTAAACTTTTCTTTTTAGAAGGTGTTACTGCTGATGCAGATGAAGAATCTGTCTGCAAAAATTAAAATGAAATAAAGACTCCAATTTTACTCTATATAGATATTAATGTGTATTTCCTCCCACACAATCCAGTTTAGTAATACATATTTAAGCTTTTTAAAATGTAATCCCTTTCTGTAAAATCCTTCTACTATTCAAAAAACATTACCAAAAGACCACAGATGCTCAATAATATCAACTGATTAAGATTAATAAATAACACATTGAATTCAAGCGTCAAATGTAAGCTTTCAAATTCTGACTACAGACTGAACATCTAAAGTATTCAAGTACATGTCTATCTATTAAGATGAATTTATTTCAATCCTTTGGGGTGGGGAATCAAGGTATACTGAAAGACTATAATCACAAATATATTTCAATCACCTCTTTAACAGAATCATCCTCTATGGCTTCCAATTTCTGTTGCAATACTCGCATCATTTGTATCCAACACTCATTAGCATCCTGTAATTTAAAAAATGACACAGTAAGTAATCCTGGCTGTGACAGTGTTTGTCCTATAAAATTCTTCTATAATAATTACTATTTCCTTAGTGAAGGGGAAGAAAGCTGTTTTTTTCTTTAAAAATATTAAGCCAAATTAGATATTATAGGATCTTCAAAACAATGAAGAATTCCAGAATAGTTGATTCACTCATTCAAGAGATGTTTACTGAGCTCCTAATTATCCTAAGCACTGTTCTATACACTAGGAATACACAGCAGTGAGCAAAACAGAAAAAGTCCAAAAATAGAAAAAGTTTATCTATGAGGGACATATATAAACAAAATATAACATAAATTCAAGTGAAGAGAAGAGTTATGAAGAAAAAAAAAGCAATATGGGAGCAGAAAGTGATTAGGGAAAGGACAGTATGCTATTTCAATAGGACAGTCAAGGAAAGCCTCTCTGATGCCTTGACATTTGAGCTGTGAGATCTGAACAAGGTGAGGAAGTCAGCCACATACTTATCTGAGAGCCAAAGGAACGAAAGCAAAGGCTCTGCAGAAAGAGGATACTTGGAGGGTTTAAAAACAGCTAAGTAGCCAGTGTATCTGGAGAGAAGTGAGCAAGGGGGAGAGTGGCCCATGAGAAGCTCAGAGAGGTAGCCAGGGGCTAGACTATTCAGGACTAGGATAGAAAATCACTAAGAGGTATTGAACAAGGAACCATCTTATTTACATTTTTAAAAGGACTCTAGGGGATGTGGGGGTAACTCTGCAGAGGGACAAAAGCAGAAGCAAAATGATCAGTTAACAGATTATTGCACCACTCCAGGCAAGAGATAAGAGTGGTGTGATCTAGAGAGGACTGATATCCGCATTTCCAAATACACTTCAATAAGTATGGTAAGTATAGGAAACCTAAGTTTGACATTTACAAAATGAAAACCATAGAACCTTGCCCTGATTACCTGTTGAAGATACTGTCCTTGCTCGCCCTTCTCTGCGAACTGTGGAAAAGCCATGTGCAAAAACTGCAGTAGAATAATAGGTGGAATACTAGAAGAAGTTTTATCCATGGAATCAAACAAATCTCTAAGGGCTTAAAAACAAAGCAAACACTGCCTTAGTAAAATAGTGACATATTTAATACATGCTACGGTAAATTAATTCTCGATTAATACAAATAACTGCTTAATAACTATTTTTAAGTATATCTATCCCTTTTGCAATTGTTGGATTCCTAATAAGAAAAAGATTTGTTTTTAAATCTTAAAGAACTCACCAGAAGACACTATAATGCAATCACTAGCTATAAACAACTTCTGAGCCCTGCCTCTTCATCTTTCTCTCCTTGCCAGCCTTTGTCTTCCCAAACAAAGCAGGGTATAGTCACTCAATACAGAGAACACATAACCTCTGTCTAGGGACCAAACAGGCATAATGTTACTGTTCCGCCACTACGCCGTTACCAGGCACCTCCCTCTAAGCCCATACTTGGTTCCCGTCTACTGAACTCCTGAACATTGAAAACTGGCTCCTTAAACATACTTTCTGACTCTACTGAACAGCTAAGAACCAAAACTAATTCACGTTCTTCAAAATCTTTCTTCTGCTTATTCCCTCTCACCATCACAAATCCCATGGTCACAGACTTGGCCCTGCTCTTGGAGTACAGAATACTTTTCCTCTGCTGACTTCCTAGCTATCACATCTTTCCCTTACTTCACGTATAGCAAAACTCTAATCTAGCTTATCTTGACTTGTTTTGTTAATTAAGATGTGAACTGTTATCTACCATTATTAAACACACGGAAGCCCAGCAAATACTACATCTCAGCACAAAGCCAAGTGCTCAATAAAATGTTCCTGAAAAAACAACTAAACACAATGTTTAAAAAATATTTTTAGAGGGAGGGCCGAAATTTAGACATTACTCCCAAGCTAATTATTTTTAAAATAAAAGAGCCTAAAGTATAACAACACTTTAAAGCATACACTATTCAAAAAAAAGATGATTTAAGATTTAATATATAACACGAACAGAGTATCTCAAAGTTCTAATGAGACATGACAACAACTAAATGCAATGTGTGATCCTAAACTGGCTCCTGAAGCAAAAAAGAAAAACAACTTTATAATGGGCAATATTGGGTCAACTGGCAAAATTTAAATAAAATCAGTAACTTGGAGTACTATATCAGCATTAAACTCCGAGATTTTGAAAACTAATAATTGTCTTGTAGTTATTAATGTCCTTATTCTTACAAAATACATATTGAAATATTCAGGAATAAAAGACATGATGCCTGCAACTTACTCTCAAATGGTTCAGAAGAAAAGAAGAGGCATTATAGAGAAGGATGAATCAGATGTGACAACAAGTAATCAGTGAATTTTTGCAACTTTTCAGCAAATTTAAATTTAGTTCAAAATAAAAAAGTTAAAAAGTCAAGAAGCAAAAAATAAAGAACAGTATTTTTCATCTCATCAATACTGCAAGTCTCCTACATGACACTGGAGAGTAATTCTGAGTTACTCTTAGATACACAAACAATCAAATGAACTAGATATATATATGATCACATCTTCTCATTAAAAACTTCATTTCAACAAATCTACCTTCAGGAAAAAAGGTCAGAGAAAAATCTAACTCCAAATGATGCAAAGAAACCTACTGTTTTTAGTATTAAAAATTAATGGTTAATCACAACGAGATACCACCTCACACCCCTAGGATGGTTATAATCAAAGACAGACAATACCAAACGTTAGTAAGGACACAAAGAAATCGGAACCCTCATACGTGCTGGGAGGAATGTAAAATGATGCAGCTGCTTTGAAAGACAGTCTAGCAGTTCCCCAAAAGGTGAAATATAGTTACCATATGATCCAGCAATTCCACTCCTAGATATTTACCCAAGAGAAATGAAAACATATGTCCACATGAAGACTTGTACACAAATGTTTAGCAATATTTATAATGGAAAGTGCAAACTATCCAAATGTCTATCAATAATGAAAGGATAAATGAAACGTGGTATACCCATACAATGGACTCTTATTCAGCAATAAAAAGGAATGAAGTACTGATACATGCTACAATCTGGATGGCCCTTGAAAACATTCTAAGTGGAAGAAGCCAGTCAAAAAGACTACATACTGTGCAATTGCACTTACATCAGAAGTCCAGAATAGGTAAATCTACAAGACGGACAGTGGCTGCATAAGGCTGGGAGTGGTGACGGGAAAACGGGGTGACTGCTAAATGTTAGAGTTTCTTTTTGAAGTGAGGAAAATGTTCTAAAATTGACTGTGGTGATGATGGTTGCACAACTCTGAGAATATACTAAAAAACAATGAATTGTACATTTTAAATGGGTGAATTGTATGATATGTGAATTATATCTCAATAAAGCTGTTACCAACAAAAAAAGCACGGCTATAAAAAACCCCATCAACCTAGCCCAATGATTTAAGAGAGTACTCATTTGTAAAACTGTCCCAAAATGGGGTAGGAGGATATATGGTCTCATGTAATTAAGAAGTAAGTTACTGCTATCCTTTAAAAATTTCTATTTCTCCTCATACCTCATACACCACTTCCTTACACTAATTCTCACTAAGACTCTCTTTTATAATGATCATGACAACTATAATAAAATCTATCTCCGGATATCCCCAAAGATATATTTTACTAATAGAACCTAAAGCCCAAATTGTAATTTAATCCAAAAAAATCCAAAGCTTTTCTTTTTCAAAAAGGACAGACATCACTGGTTTATAATTTAGATAATAAAATAAGTCACAAGTTGTTTAACCTAAGTGTTAAGTACTCCAATTTTAACGAGGTGATCACATTTTGTAAATTGAAAGGTACTAAACAAATTGTGAGTTAAAAAAACATTTACTCAATACTATACGCCCTCTCAAAAAGTAGTATACTTAAGATACTGACCTGCAGTAATATACTGTGCTGAAGCCATTTCCCCTGACGCTCTCAAGGCACCTGCATACCTAGGAACATTAAGGCAGATTTAAATAACAGGATTCAGGGGCCAGCCCTGTGGCATAGTGGTTAAGTTCGGCGCACTCCACTTCAGCAGCCCGGGTTTATGGGTTCGGATCCCAGGCACAGACCTACACCACTCATCAGCCATGCTGTAGCAGCAACCCACATACAAAATAGAGGAAGACTGGCAACGGATGTTAGCTCAGGGAGAAACTTCCTCACCAAAAAGAGACACATTTAATGTCCACTATTACAAAGCAAATAATACAATTTCAGAAATAATAAAGAAAAAAGCATTAGATTAAAAACATTAAATCCAAATCAATACACCTACATTCAACACTAACTTGCTATATAACATTAAATAAATCACTTAAATTTCAAGTCAGTTTGCTCACCTATAAAAGGAGGGGTTTCTATTAAAATGATTTCTAAATTCACTTTCAGCTTTATGATTTTCAGTTAATTTACAACAGTACAAAGGACTGCCTATCCAAAAGAAATATTCAAACCATAGTATTTACTAATACAACTTATGACTAAAGATCAGAAAGTATCATTCAGATAATATCAAACATCGGGGGATGGGAGACTGTATATTCACCATGATAAAACCATGAGTGACTAAAATGAAAAAGACTGATATTACCCAAGACTGGCAAGAATGTAGAACAAGCAGAACTACTGATACAGTCAATAACATGGATGAATCTCAAAAACTATGCTGAGTGAACTAACTCAAACCAAAAAAAAAAGTACATTCTGTATATTTATTTTAAGTTCCAGAATGCAGAAAACTGATATGAGATCAGTAGCTGCCTGGGGAGTTGGGCTGTGGGAGACGATGAGGATTGACTGGGAAAAGGTACAAGAAAAGTTTCTGGGGTGATGGAAATGTTCTATAATTTGATTGTAAAATCGGTTACAGAGAATTTGCATTTGTCAAAACTGATTACACTGAACACTTAAGATATGTGAATTTCACTAGATGTAAATTATATTCCAATTTAAAAAAACAAAAACTCGGGGCCGGCCCAGTGGCGCAAGCGGCTAAGCGCGCACTCCACTGCAGTGGCCTGGGGTTCGCCGGTTCGGATCCTGAGTGCGCACCAATGCACTGCTTGGCAAGCCATGCTGTGGCAGCGTCCCATATAAAGTGGAGGAAGATGGGCACGGACCTTAGCCCAGGGCCAGTATTCCTCAGCAAAAAAAGAGGAGGATTGGCAGATGTTAACACAGGGCTGATATTCCTCACAAAAAAAAAACAAAAAAAAACTCTGTGCTTCCGTAAGTAGAATGAAAGAGGTCACAGAAAACATGCTAAATTATATTCAATTAAAGAGTTTTATTTTTCTTTTTTACATTTGCTTGTATCTTTTGGAAACTGCTGCAACTAAAAAAATTTTTTTAGTTTTTCAATACACAATAATTCACAATAATGCCTAAATTATTTATATTCATTTAAAAAAATGATAATCATAATGTTCCCTGTCAGACAGTTTATTAACTTTTTAAAAGGCAATTCTGAAGTTAAAATGAAGTACTAACAAAGCAGATATATCCCAGAACATCACTGAAATATGTAATTACATAACTTCTGCTGTTACTGAATTTTACTTCTAGTTATGGGATAACATGAGTAAGAAACTATTTCTACACTTATGGCAAAAGCTACACTAAAGAATTATCAATCTTTTTTTTTTTTAAGTAACTAAGAATAGGAAACTCATAGCTATCTATAATATCCCAAAAAAACTTGCATTTTCTTATACCAAGAAAACATATAATTCCTAATTAAGGTAAAACCATCCAATAAGTCAAATTACATTAACACTGAACTTTACAAAGAAAAACGCTTACAAAAATAGGACGAGGAATTGACAGGAGCACCGAGAGGTTTAAGAGACAGAAATACTGAGAGGTTTTACAGACAAAAGAACCAAGAGAATACCTTTCTAGTCTTTGACAAGTCAAAAAATAAAACTTAAGTAATGATACAGAAAACATGGAAGTAATTAATAAAGTTAACTTAATATCTATTTTACTTTATCACCTACAAAAAGAGGACATCTTGACTTTTTTTATCGTCTGTGAAATAGTCACAATAATCATGTATCAAATCAACCCAAACATTCATCAACAGAACAATGGATAATTATTTGGTATTGTATGCACACAACGATATAATATACAGCAGGAACACAAATGAACTGCAACTACATATACATACACAACATGGATAAACCAAACACAATGAGCCAGACCCAAATGAACACAATCTGTATGTTTCCATTCATAAAGAGTTGAAAATAGGCAAAATTATCCATGAAGTTAGAAGTCAGGTTAGTATTAACAACTTTAGAAAGAAGGGTTAGGGTAGTGATTAGGAAGGAATAAGTGACGGGATTTTTAGTGTGCTGATAGGGTTATATTTATCTCTGCTGGTTACATGGATGTGTTTGCTCTAGGATAATTCACTTGTACACTTTTCTGTATAACTCAGTAATTAAAAAGGCCAGCCCCGTGGCTTAGCGGTTAAGTGCGCGCACTCCACTGCTGGCGGCCCAGGTTCGGATCCCAGGCGCACACCGACATGCTGCTTCTCCGGCCATGCTGGGGCGGAGTCCCACATACAGCAACTAGAAGGATGTGCAACTATGACATACAACTATCTACTGGGGCTTTGGGGGAAAAAACTAAATAAATAAAAATTAAAAAAAAAAAAAAAAAAAAAAACTTTGAGCCAAAATGAAAAGATAAAGAGATTTTATAGTGTTTCTTTTAAAACATCTGAATAGCCTTATCTAATGAACAGGGAACAAGAACATCAGAATTAAATACTTTCATTGCTACACAAGCACAAATAAATAATCCAAGCACACAGCTTAAGAAGTTAGAAAACAATAAAACAAGCCTAAGGAATATAGAAATAAGAAATTAATAGAAACAAAAGTAGGATGAATCAGACAAGTGTAAGAACTAAGTGAATAAATCTAATAGCCGATTCTGTGAAAAATAAAACACACAAACCTCTGGCAAGATGATCAAGGGAAAAAATATATATGTATAACAAATAAGAAATGAATATGAACAGCAACTAGAAGGATGTGCAGCTATGACATACAACTATCTACTGGGGCTTTGGGGGAAAAATAAATAAATAAATAAAATTATTAAAAAAAAAAAAAAAAAAAAAAAAAAAGAAATGAATATGGGGAAAAAACACGCAGGTCCAAAAACTGAGTAACTCCTATGCTAAAATAGTTTAAAAAGATAAGAATAAACTCATAGAGGGGCCGGCCCGGTGGCGCAAGCGGTTAAGTGCGTGCGCTCTGCTTTGGCAGCCCAGGGTTCGCCAGTTCAGATCCCGGGCGCACACCGAAGCACTGCTTGTCAAGCCATGCTGTGGCGGCGTCCCATATAAAGTGGAGGAAGATGGGCATGGATGTTAGCCCAGGGCCAGTCTTCCTCAGCAAAAAGAGGAGGATTGGCAGATGTTAGCTCAGGGCTGATCTTCCTCACACACACAAAAAAAAGAATTCATAGGAAAATACAAATTAGCAAAACTGACTCTGAAAGATACAGAAAATATGTATTTAAAATGCCAAAACACGGTTGAGTTCAGCCAATTTTATGGGTAAGTTCTTATCAAGAACAAGTCATTCCTATACAAATTTGAAAATGAACGTAAAATAGCAATCTAGTAATTGCTGATGGAAAAAAACTGACTTGCCAGTCTCCAGCAAGACAAAAATATGGCCATGTGATACCACTGGCACTCCACATCACAAGTTCCGCATCTGCGGATTCAACCAACTGCAAATCGAAAGGCCTATGATGGCTGTGTCTGTAATGAACATGTACAGACCTTTTTTTTTTGTCATTACTCCCTCAACAATACAGTATAACTACTATTTACATAGCATTTACATTGTATTAGGTATTATAAATAGTTTAGAGATGATTTAAAGCGTACGGGAGGATGTGCGTATGTTATATGCAAATACTACACCATTTTATACAAAGGACTTGAGCATCCAGATGTTGTTATCTGCAGGGGTCCTGGAATCAACCCCCAAAGGATACCGAGGAACAACTGTACTATCTTTTATGAGTAACTTACAGTGTTTTCAAGGGTAATTTTTATTATATACACTTTTCACTTTAGGTTCTAAATTTACAACTCCCACATTACAATAAGGTTCCACTGTTGGGCAGCATCAAGCAAACCAGATTTTACCTACAGCTATAGTTCTTGGCCCTCACTGCCTCTTCAGCTAATCCAGTCTATTTCTCTTGAATGCTCTTTCTTTCTACCCTTCATCATTATACATCTCACTCTCTAGAACCTGCCAAATAAAAACCTTTTAAGTATTTGAGGATGATCTTCAGCATTGCCAGCGTAAAACACATTTCATGGAATTTTTCTCTCTTCTTTCATTCCTATTTTATCAGTCAGTGCCATTTTTCCAAAGACATACAATTCTATCCATGTCATCTTGTATCGATTAAGTTAGTAAGTACAAGGGCTTTCATACTCTTGCAAAAACTGAAAATTCAAAAAGTACTTCATTTGGTTTCAAAAAACAAAATCAACAGGATGAAATCCCCTGCTTATACAAAACTCAGAGCAATAACTCCAAAACATGAAAGAGAGCTCTCTTTGGAACAGAGGTATCCCAGATGAAAGAAAGAAGTAAACGGGAAGTCTTGAAAGTAAGGCAAGTCTATCCAACTAGGCACCCTGTAGGTCAGGGAGCTGGCCCAGCAAGCTACTCATTCAGATAATTTGTAATCAGGACATAAGGAAGAGAATATGGTTGCATAAGATAAGAACACAATCTTCAACAAATGAGGGAAGATCAATCCTTACATGCAAAGAGAACAGAGTTAAAGGACCAAACAGGAAAAAACCCTTTAAATAAGAATACTTCAGAGCCTCAGAGAAATAAAAGCAGGAATTATGTCCAAAAATTAAGGAGATTATAAAAAAAGAACAAAATATTGTGATAAGCAGTTGTGAAACAAAGCTAATATACAAATCAGTGAAATGTACAACAAAACTGAGGCATTCTCCCAGAACACAGCAAACAAAAATAAATACAAAGTACAGAGAAGAAAAGAGACATGAAAAATAGATCCAGAAATTCTAATATTTAGAATGTAAGTGGAAGCTAGATAAAATAGAGGAGAAACAACATCTGAAGAAATAATGGCCAAGAATGTCCCAGAGTTTAGGACAAGAATCCTCAGACTGAAAGTGCCCACTGACAGCTAAACAAGATAAATGAAAGAAAACCCACACTTACACTGCTGGAAAACTTTAAAAAACAAAAATAGAGAGAAAAACCCTAAAACTTATTAACAAAAAAGAGTAAGAATCAAGATTGATATTAGACCTCTCATCAGTAACTACGGGCACACTAAAATAGTGGAGAAATAACTACGAACCTCTGAGAAAAGTAACTCTAACTTTAACATTTCCCATCAAAACAGTTCTGAAACAGTATCTGTTTACTTGATAGCCTTTCTCAATTAGACTGTAAGTGCCTTGAAGACAGGTACTGTGTCTTGTTCACTGATAATACATCAGCTGCAACCCAGGCAACCTCCTATAAATACCTGACAAGTATTCACTCCAGAGAAATTTAGAAAACCTTCAGTTACTCTCAGATTTCTGCATAATCCTCCTCCTTCCTCTCTACTGCTCAGTTCTATCAAAGTATTTCACAAGCCGCTAAGGAAAAAAAAAAAATCAAAATTCATAAAGTTGTCCAAGAATTCAAAACGCAGTTTAGAATTCTATCATACACTAAGAACTAGAAATGTATGTATCAAGACGATTGTAATAAATTTATTCAGAATTAAGTTACATATTTTTTTAAGTTACACATTTATACTCACTGAAGAGAAGCGACCCTCATTTATAGACTACTTCATAGGTTCTCAAAATACAGATAATTGTTTACTCTTTTATCTTTTGTACAGTAGTATAAAAACCAAGTTTTATTTCTTTTAAAAACCATTACTCACTGGCATAAGGACAGACATACAAATCAATGTATTTATTTCTAGACCAGAATTGAGAGTCCAGAAATAAATTTTACTTATTACATACATTATGGTCAGTTGATTTTCAACAAAGAGGCTAAGACAATTCAATGGGGAAAGATTAGTCTTTTCAACAAATGGTACTAGAGAAACTGGATATCCACATGAAAAAGAATGGGACACCTACTTCCCACCACACATAAAAATTAACTAAAAATGCATCATAGACCCAAACGTAAAAGCTAAAACTACATTACGCTTAAAGGAAAAAAAAAAACATAGGAGTAAATCTTTGTGACCTAGAATTAGGCAATATTTTCTTACATGACACCAAAAAAAAAAAAAACAAGCAACAAAAGGAGAAAAAAATTAAACTACATTAAAATTTAAAACTCTTGTGCTACAAACGATACCATCAAGAAAATGAAAAGAAAACTCACAAAATGGAAGAAAATATTTGCAAATTATCTATTTGAAAAAGGACTTGTATCCAAATATATAAAGAACACTTACAACTGAATAATAAAAAGACAAACCATTTAAAACATAGGCAAAGGATCTGATCAGATATTTCTCTAAAGATACATAAATGGCCAATAAGCACATGAAAATATGCTCAACATCACTAGCCATTAGGTAAATGCAAATGAGAACCACAATGAGATACCATTTCACCCTTAGGATGGCTATAATCAAAGACATACAATAACAGGATTGGCACAGAAACGGAGAAATTGGAATTCTCTTACATTGCTAGTAAGAATGTAAAATGGTGCAGCCATTTTGGAAAACAGTTTGGCAATTCTTCAAAATGCTAACATAGAGTTACCATATGACCGATCAATCCACTCATAACCAAGAGAAACGAAAACAAAACATCTGCACAAAAACTGGTGCTTGAATGTTTAAAGCAGCACTAGTCATGATAACTAAAAAGTGCAACAATCCAAATGTCCATCAACTGATGAATGGATAAACAAAACGTGGTCTATCCATACAATGGATTATTATTCAGCCATAAAAAGGAATGAAGTATACATGCTACAACATGAATGAACCTAGAAAACATTATGCTAAGTAAAAGAAGCCAATGACAAAAAGACCACACATTCTATGATTTCATTTATATGAAATGTCCAGAATCGGCAAATCTATAAGACAGAAAAGTAGATTAATGGTTGCTTAGAGCTAGAGGTTAGAAGGGTATAAAGAGTAGACTGACTGCTAATGAGTTTCTTTTAGGGGGGAAGAAAATATTCCAAAATTAGATTGTGCTGATGGTTAAACAACCCTGTAAATATAATAAAGACCATTTAATTGAATACTTTAAAAGGGTGAATTGTACGATAAATGAATTGTATCTCAATAAAGCTGCTAAAAAATATATATATACACCAAACAACACTACTCATCCAAACGTGACCTCCCTGACCCAAGACGACTTAAAACATTTCTCTTCTGTCTTACCTTTTAAGGGCATCTTTGAGTTCAGGCACAGAACGAATACACTGAACTGTAGCATTCATGTAACAAGTGTTACCAAGGTTTGTCAATCCACATGGTAATTCCATCTGATTTAAGGAAAAGGATTAAATGATTTTTTATGAAATGACATAGCATATATAAATCACTAAACTTCACACTTTGAAGCAAATACAACTTACCGACTCATACCAACTTATACTCCAACTTCACTCTAAAGTAACGTTTTACTTTCCCAACAAAAATTTTTACTTGCATCATGCTGACAATCATTCTTTGTTTTAATTCCCTTCTCGAAAATAATAAAACAACAATCATATCAGTCCTGCCTCCTTTGCAGGGCTTCTCATTAGAACAAAGTAACAAAATACGCATAGAAACACTTCAAAAAAAGAATGGCGCTACATAAATGGTAGGTGGTAAAAAATAAATAACATTTGACAAGTATGTGTTGACCAGTTTCTAAACCAACATTATTTAAATTAAGGATAAACTGTTATGTACTTTCAACACAGAAGGTTTTAAGAATTTAAATATCCCAGCATTTAAACTACTTAACCTCTTTGAGCTCGTTTTCCCACAAAATAATAGTAAATAGTTAAATGGAACTATCTGCAAGACACACATTTATTACAGATATTGACTTTATAATGAATTATCCAATTATGGAAGGACCCCTTAAGCCAACTTCAAAAGTAAAACTTTTATTTACTGCTAAAAACATACATCTTAATATAAAATCTTCAAAACATTTAGATGCTACTTTTTGAAAGTCATCTTAATAACCGCACTTCTGAAAGGTAGTGAGGTCAAATATTTAAAATGTGGTATGTCTTACAGCAGATGCTAACTGTTCTTCTGTCATGTCTTCCACAAAGACGGTTTTAGCTGAGGGTTCCTCAGGAAGAGCGTCTGCGGACCCCATCATTAGTAGAGTCATTCCCTGTTTAAAAAAAAAACTTATTTTATGAAAATGCTCAAAAGTTGATCATGTTTATGTTCAATGAAAGAAGCCAGACACAGATAAACACATATTGCTTCTACTTGCCAACTAGGTAAACCTATAGAGACACAAAGTAGATTAGTGGTTGCTAGAGCTAAAGGTGGAAAGAAGGAATCAATTTAAATGAGTATGCATTTCTTTCTGGGGTGACGGCAATGTTCTAAAATTAGATTGTGGTGAAGGTTACACAACTCTGTAAATATACTAAAACTTACTGAATTGTCAAAAAAAAAAAAAATACTAGGGTGGCTGCTTCAGGCCAGAGGTCATCTGCTTATCATCAAAGAAGCACAAAGAAACTTTGTTCAGAGTGGTGAAACTTCTATATCTTGATTGTGGTGGTGGTTACGTGACCGTATAAAATTAACGAAATTCATCAAACTGTACACTAAAAATAGGTGAATTTTATTCTATATAAATTATACCTCAATAAAGCTAAGGGAAAACATAAATATTGTCATAAAGAAAGTTGAGAATGTTTATAATATTGGAGGGGAAAGAATTCTTCAAATGATCATTAACATTTAGTGGCACAATTTCTCCCCATAACAAGTAAACTGAGCACTGATAAAATTCTTTCTGTGAATATCTATTTGTAACTGTAACAATTATTTACATTTGAATAGAAATATTTTGAGAGCACTGAAGTTTCCATTATTGGAAAACATCAAAACAAACACATAAATTAGTTCAAAATATCTAATTTTATAATTCTACACATTATTAACCTAAGGGAGTACTTACCCTCAATATATACATAACATTCCATAGAATAGAAGAACAATGAAGCCACTGTCACCCTAAAACTCATAATCCTGAAATGTGAACAACATCTTACTTAATATCTTAATTGGAAGACATGAACACATGAAACCAAGAAAAGGGTAGGGAAAACAAAAAACAAAAAAAAAGCCAGAAGTGGAAGTTTAAAAAAAAAAAAGTAAGAGAAAATAAAAAGAGAAAATAAAAATATCTAACAAGGATTAAAATTAGAAAATTAATAAAGCCAACAAACTCATAGTCTTAAGAGTACCTATGTTGAAATCCAATAACCTTCATCCTATCAATTGTTATTTTTACTAAATTTTCTATAAGATAACTGCAAAGCAGTACTAAGCTATCACTAAAGAACCTTTTTCCAAACACAACCGTCTCAGGAAAACCAAATATTTAAAGAACCTACTAGCAATAGCCAGTTAGAAAATACAATAGAAAAGAAAGAATGGGGCCGGCCCTGTGGCTTGGTGGTTAAGTGCGCGCACTGCGATGCTGGCGGCCCGGGTTCGGATCCCGGGTGCGCATCGAGGCACCACTTCTCCGTTCATCCTGAGGCCAAGTCCCACATACAGCAACTAGAAGGATGTGCAGCTACGACACACAACTATCCACTGGGGCTTTGGGGGGAAAAAATAAAATAAATAAAATCTTTAAAAAAAAAAAGAATGCCAACAAATATCTAAGAGTAAGCATAAGACGAAATATGTAATACTTTAATAAGAAAACTTTGCTTTATTTAGGGATATAAAAAAACACCGAAATTGAAGGACATGACAGGTTTCTGCACTGGAAAAATTACTGTAAAGATGTGACTCTAAATTATTACATAAATTTAACGAAACTCCTTTCTGAAACTTTAGAAACTAATTCATTGATGTAGCAAATTCATACCCATGACAACAGTAATAAATTTCTGGAAAAGAAGAAAGAAGACTAAAACAACCATTTAAAATTATTAAGAAAATAGATTAGACAATGAAAAATGCTGAGGTAAAGTAGGCAATAATTCAGAAAAAAAATACTATCAGCTCTTCCTCTCACGGCATGCCATATCCAAATTACAAATTAAAAATTTAAATATAAAAAAAATGAAACAAATAATTACAAAACATGTAAGGGAATCAAAAAAAAATTTGCCATGCAGGAAGATTTTCTAAAATTAATATAAAAGATAAAAGGACTGATGTCACTAACTACATAAATCTTGAAAACTTCTGTAAAACACTACCACAATCAAAATTTAAAAGGACAAACTAGAGGGCCGGCCTTGTGGCGTAGCGGTTAAGTGCACACGCTCCACTGCTGGCAGCCCGGGTTGGCATCCCGGGCGCGCACTGAGGCACCGCTTGTCAGGCCATGCTGTGGCAGCGTCCCATATAAAGTGGAAGAAGATGGGCACAGATGTCAGCTCAAGGCCACTCTTCTTCAAGCAAAAAGAGGAAGATTGGCAACAGGTATTAGCTCAGGGCCAATCTTCCTTACCAAAAAAAAAAAAAAACACTAAAGCAAACACAATAGAAAAATGGGCAAAAATGATAAACATAAAACAAACACAAAAGGCTTAAAATTAATAAATTCAGTAAACTTCTACCTTAAGAAGCTAGAAAACATATATATCAAAACCAGAGTAAAAGGTAGAATAAAGCAGAGGGGAAATCAATAAAACAATAAATGAACAAGCAAAACTTGATTCTTGGGGGAGAGGGGAATCAATGAAATTGACAAACCTCTGGCTAGATGATGAAGAAAACAAGAGAGAAATCACAATTTGCGAATGAGGGATGGGGGGGCGGGACACAGACCCAGTCGGACAGCACTACAGATTATAGAAGTAAGAGATAAAAAGAATGTATTACGCCAGGCAATCAGTTCAACAAATTAAACAGACCAATTCCTTAAAAGATGCAAATTCCTAAAACTGATGCAAAAAAACATAACATCTGAATGGTCCTACATTTATTAAAGACACTAAATTCCCAATTAAGTCTTCTCACAAAGAAAGCTCCAAGCCCAGAGGGCTTCACTGGAGAATTCTATGAAACAGTTAAAGAAAAAATAATATAAACTCTTTCAGCGGAGTGCATGCATTTTTGTGTGTGTGTGTGAGGAAGATCAGCCCTGAGCTAATATCCATGCCAATCCTCCTCTTTTTGCTGCGGAAGACTGACCCTGGGCTAACATCTGTGCCCATCTTCCTTCACTTTATATGAGACGCCACCACAGCACGGCTTGACAAGCGGTGCCTCGGTGCGCACCTGGGATCCGAACCCGGGCTGCCAGCAGCAGAGCGCATGCACTTAACCGCTATGCCATGGCACCAGCCCCATAAGCTCTTTCAGAAAAGAGGGGAGGTGGGGATGCTTCCTAACTCATTTTAAGGCCAGCATTACACTGACAGTAAAATCAAAGACAATTCAAGAAAACTACAAATCAATCTCTCTCATGAAAAGAGACACAAAAATCTTTATCAAAATAGTACTAAACAGAATTCAGCAATATATAAAAAGGAATATAGAGGCCAGCCCTATAGCTGAGTGGTTAAAGTTCCATGTGCTCCACTTCAGCAGCCCAGGTTCACCAGTTCAGATCCCGGGCGCAGACTTACTCCATTCATCAGCTATGCTGTGGAGGCATCACATGTACAAAATAGAGGAACAGATGTTAGCTCAGGGCAAATCTTTCTCGATCAAAAAAAAGAGGAAGATCGCCAATGGATGTTAGCTCAGGGCAAATCTTCCTCACCAAAAAAAAAAAAAAAAAAAGGAATATATAAAAAGGTCATACATAATGACCAAATGGGGTTTACCCCAAGAATATAAGGTTGGTTTACTATTTTAAAAAGTTAGTGTAGTTCACCACATTAACAGATTAAAGGATAAAAAACAAATGACAATTTCAATAGATATAGAAAAAGTATTTGACAAAATTCAACTCCCATTAGTGATAAAAACTCTCAGCAAACTACCAACAGAAGAGAACTTCCTCAACCTGATGATGAACATCAATAAAAAACCTCCAGCCAAGACTGGAGACTTTTCTCCTAAAATCAGGAAAAAAAGCAATGATGTCCACTATCAACCTAAGACGTTAATATGTAAAATCAGCAGTCACAGGATACAAGGTCAATATAGAATAATTAATTCCACTTCTATATGCCAGCAACAAACAATTAGAAAAAGACTTTTGAAAAATATCATTTATGACAGCATCAAATACCATGGAATACTTAAGGATATATTTAACAAAATACGTATAAGATCCTGTATTGAAAATATAAAATGTTGTGGGAAATTTTAACATCTAAATAAACGGAGAAGTATATACCACGTTTGTAGATTAGAAGACTCAATATTAAGATGTTCCAAATTGATATACAGATTCAATGTAATTCCAGTCAAAATCCCAGCAGGTTCTCTGGTAGATAACAACAAGCTGAATCTAAAATGTGTAGCAGACGTGCAAAGGTCTTAGAATAGCCAACAGTTTTCAAAAAGAACAATCACAGGACTTACACTACCTGATTTCAAGTCTTGAATAATCAAGACAGTGAGGGGATGCATATTGGTGTAAAGGTAGAAATCAAATCAATAGAAAAGAACAGAATCCAGAAAGAGACCGATATGTGTGTGGTCAACTGATCTTCAACAAAAGTGTTGAGGTACAACGGGAAAGGACAGTCTTTTCAACAAAGGTGCTCATACAACTGAATATTCATATGGAAAAAATAAACTTCAATCATTACTTCACAACAAACACAAGAGTTTGCTCAAAACAGATAATATATCTAAATATAAAAGCTAAAACTTATAAAAGTTTTAGAAAACATAAAAAAAAAAATCTCTTGTAACCTTGACATAGGCAAAGATTTCTTAGATAGGATGCAAATAGTAGAAACCAAAGAAGAAAGAAATTGATAATTAAACTTCAACAAAATCAAAAACTTCTACTCAATAAGACATATTATTAAAAAGACTGAAAAGCCACAGACCAGGAGAAAACATTTACAGTACATATATCTCACAAAAGACTTGTAAAGAATATTCAAAACTCAATTAAAAGAAAACAATCCAATTAAAAAATAAAGATTTGAACAGACATTTCACAAAAAGATAAGTTGCCAATAAGCTCATGAAATGATGTTCAATACCATGAGCCATCAAAGA